ACTTTAAGAAAGAATAGAAGATAAACACAGCATCTGCAGAAAATGAAGACGGGTTTTGTCCTTCTCCCTCTGCGTGGGCCCAGTACAAAATAAAGTAAGTAGCCTACCTCAAAATTGTACAGTACTTGAGTAAATGTACTCAGTTACACCACTGGTTACAAGTCTCTCAAAAACGTTCCAAGTCTGGTAAAAATAGGCCTAAAACAAGTTAACATTAAGAGGCGCATACTTTGCATTACAATAAAAAAACGTTTCCTGGACTGTTTGGGCCTAGGAAGCAGGCATGTTAGCTTGTTAGCCAAACTACAACAACAACGCGTTCACAAAAGGTAGAGCTAATGCTATAAAACTATAACCACAACACACATAAAGTAGCTCTTTGCTTAGCTCAGCTATGAGTTAAACTATCAAATAAAAAATATATAATTCAAAATGTAAGCCTGCGGTTTTACCTTCATTTGTCACACCAGAAGCCGTGGAGTGTATCACGGTCGTCATGACAACTGTTGCCATGTCTTCAGAGCCTTTTACAGTAAGGTTACCGGTAGCCTACTTGAAAATCAGTGCCATAACATATTTATGGTGGCCTCAGTGTTGTTTCAGATAATGGTCTTATTTGTTACGGTTAGGATGCCGTAACGGATAAATTGGCTTCCGATATCTGTCAAACAGCAGCTGCTTAGGGATCGTCTTTCAAAATCAATAGACACAGCCTACACACAATTTAAAGCTGTTTTCTCCTCTTACATCCCTTCAAATTCAATCAATAGGGAGGAATTTAATAATCTGGTGTTTTGTTATAGCCTCGTCCCTGCAAACACAAACTCAAAAAACCAAACAGATCTTTAAATAACCAGATGGCTTTTTTATAAAACTTGCACTATTTTATTTCTATTCTGTTTCTTTTTGGACTATTTTTATTGTTTTATATTTATTTATATTGCATTGTTAATGGAGACTGGGACTTAAGATTTCCATAGCTTCTGTGCTTATGACAATATAACCTTTGAATCTTAAATCTATATAGGAAGAAAATATATTGATATATTTATAAAGTTTTGTATGTAAATGGTTATGTTCAGATGTTGACTGAAAACTCATAAGCTCATTAGTATTTAGTGGATAACAGTATCTGTCAAACAGCAAAGGAGAGGGTATTTTGGGTAGGTACCACTCTGCATATAGACTCTTATTGCACTATTTTACCTTTTTAAACTATTTTTGTATTTACTATTTACGATTTACTTGCACTATATTTCTGTTTATCCGTTTTATTGTGTTGCACTGTTGGAGGAGCCTGTGACCTAAGATTTTCATCGCCATAACTACTGTAGCTATGTTCGTATGACAAAAAAAAAAAAAAAAAAAACCTTGAACCTCTCATAAGGCACAAATACTCCCTTTCTAAAGTATTCACATATTGCATTTTAATACAGATTAGTCTGATTATTTTTGTTAGGCTTTTATATGACAAACTTAACCAATAAACCAGTGAATGCAGACATCACCAGTATATCCATACGACTGCACAGTAAAACAATGTAGTGTCAAGACAACGTCAATAATGATGATCAATGAATGATGCAGACTACCTGCATTGGAAATTCAAAGAGCAAGGCTCATGAAACAAGGACATATCTTTGATGTTTTTATTCTTTTGAACATTGCACAACAGAAAAATAGAAAGTGTACATTTGTAAAATGCAGTTCATAATGCATACTCTTCTCTGAATAAGATGAGGCTTTCCCTTCAGCAGGTATGCAGCATGTATGCAGTCAAAACACCTGCAGTACGCAATAAACACATAAAAGAAAACACCGTCTGAACTTTTTTTTGTAGCTTGTAATTAAGACTTCATCAGATAAATAAAATCCATCTGTGATTTTGGAAGAATGGTTCAGTTTTTTACGACTAGTGATTTTTTTCCATCATATCACTGATAATTATGGTCTCCATTATATTCATTATCCCACAGATAATCATGGTCTCTAATCAACCCCTCAACACAATTATACTTTTCACCTCCTGTAACCTTCTTAAAATTACCACCCATTACCTGGAATTGATTGAGCACTGTTATTTTTACAATGGATTTCTTTTGATCTGAAATCTCTGTTGACAGTCTTCAAATAAAATGGCTCCATGTGCTAAGAGATGATAATATCAAAGTGAAAGAGTGTAAAAACCAAAGTGGAATGATAAATACCTGACCAACATATCTGATTAGGAAAAACAGCGTACCTTAAAGATGAAAAAAATATGCAACTGATGAGAACGCTATGCCATGTGATTCTGAAATTACATAATCAAAGATTTCCTCCAGAAAGTAAGATTCAAAAGTGTGGGAAAGACACTTTCATTTGAACAGTGAAAGACAGGTTTAAATGTAACAGCTCAGAGGAATATAAGGCAGAAAAACAGGTGTGTGTGCGCGTGATGAATCCTTGTTGATATTGGCAGTTTGTTGATAAAAGTGTAATTTTAAGGCTTCTACGTCATTGACTCAGTGATAACTTTCAGTAAAAAGCTGTAACCACAAAAAAAAAAATACAATTCAAATGGAAATTGAACAAGCCCTCTGCCCCCTTTTTTGACACTGGGTTTAGTGTCAAAAAGCTGAATGGGCACTGATTATTAATGGGAATTCAAAAGATTAAAAAGCCCCTTCAGTTGTTTAAAATAGTACCTTAAAGGTGGGGTAGGTAAGTTTGAGAAACCGGCTCGAGATACACTTTTTGTTATATTCCGTGGAATGCTCTTAACATCCCGATAGCAATGAATATCTTAAGTGCTTTGACAAAAAATCCATAAAAAAATGTCATCTGTGGAAGCCGTAGTACTATAAAAAGCACGACCAATCATTTTAGCCGGCCCGGCTAAAGTAACTGGATGACCTACCTGCCTGTCAGCCTTCCATCTGTGCACAAACTTATCTCGTGCCTTCATTGGTCATGTGCGCGTTTGTGTGTGTTGGAGGAGGGGCTCTGTAAGGAAGTGGCAGATTTTTTCCGGTTGTGTATTTTCAAATTCTAGCGCACTCGAGCTGGTTTCTCCAAAATTACCTACCCCACCTTTAACAGGTTATTGTGTAGCAAATATACACTTTTCTTCTTTTAACCAATATGGCTCAGTATTTCCTTAAATACAAAATATCTAGGGACTTAGAAATCCTTCACTGTACCCTTCAACGTTATCAATTCAGGCAGCTTTCTCGTGAGCGTTTCTATGATTCCCAGCTTAGCATCTTCAAATATGATGGTAATGAGTTCTTCTGAAAGGTTTATGTTGTTAGTGTTTTACCATATCAAATGTATGTTCAATGTATTTGTCCCTGGGTCAATATGAGGAAATCACCCACAGCTATACTGTTCAATTCGCTCTCAAACTCGAGGGAAACAAATATAGTTTAGTTGACTTTAAACATTGATATCTCCTCCTGCCAAAACAGATTGTTCCCATTTGAACTGCATTTGAAACATTTAACAGCCCTCAGTCTTTTGTCATTTGAACTGCTGGAGACAAAACGTATTACGTTAGGTTAACCTTTGAACAGCTCACAAGCTTTCCCAGCTGCTTGGATTGAGAAACACATTTGTATGTAGAAAGATCTGACGCTTCAAGCTGAGCAGAAGACAGCACAGTACAGAGAAAGGTGGCTTAAAATAAATACATCAGTAGTTAAAAGAAGGAAGAAAATGTCATGACTCTTCTTTACAGTGGGTTAGAATACTTTAAACCAGACTTTGTCCCGGGTTAACAATGTCAGTATTGCATTTGGGGGAAATAATTGTCCTTCCTCACCAAATGATTGCAACAGCCATCAAGGCCAAGCATTTTGGTCCCTTTACTTGTGACTAAAAAAAAAAAACGGGTGTGGTGAATAAATACTTTAAACAAGTGCATTTGGGAGACAGCATGTACCTCAATCTTAACATTTCAAACCATTTAAATATTTTCCAGTTATTGTTCTCATTGGAAACAAAATGTTAGCTGGTATTTTAAGAAGTTCTCATAAAACAAGCTTAGCAGATCCTTTCAGGTGAAAAGTATGAGCTACACACTGGCCTTATTTAAAAATATATCTTCAATTTAATACATCAATTGATAAAAAAGGGTCCAAGTTTCGCCAAAGGGTTAGATTTCTTCACTTGTTTCCTGGCAAATATCCTTTTTAATTCAAATCAAGTTTGAATAAGTTGATGGTAATGCAGTATGGCTTTAAAATAGTCTTGCTTTAAAGGAGAGGTGTCATGCTTTTCCGGTTATTACCCGTCCCCTTGTGTGTTATGAAGGTTTTTATGCATGTAAACGGTGTGCAGTCAAAACCATCAAAGTACACCCTGTAGCGAGTAAAACTCTAACACAGAAAATACCTCCCCAAAACGCCTCGTTGGAGATACGTCATTGTCCATTTGATTCTTCCGGGTACGGCATGATGTCATGCCGTACCCGGAACGAAATGGACCAATCCGTGGAGCCGTTACGTTACGTCCGCGGAGCCGTTACGTTAAGCCCCCGCTGATTGGTCCAAATTGACCAATCCACGGACTTCCTCACACACAGGCAGCTCTGCTGATTTCTCCTCCCTGGCTGCAGGCTGATAATAGACAGTTGGGATCGCGGCAAAATTCTCTCTGCAGACCCATTCTCACAGCGTTTATCAACCTTTTTCTTACTCAATATCAAGCCACACTTATTGTTTTTACTTCGGCTGTGACTTTGTGTGTGCTCAGGATGAGTTTGGCTGTGTTTCGCCATGTATCCTAAACAAGGAAACAACACCTCCACGGAGCTCAGCGCGATTCACAACGTCCCGACCAATCAGAGCACACTGTGCTCACAGGGAGGGCTGGAGCTTTTGGAGCTTTTGGAGCTACAACGAGCCGTTAAAGACAGAGAGCGAAATTCAGTGAATACAAGTAGTTTACAGAGATGCTGTATGCGAAACCAATGTGAGTTTGGAAAAATGCACAGTATAAATCTATTTTAGTATACCTCAACAATGGAATTATGATCAGTGGAAATGGCCATGACACCTCTCCTTTAAGATAATTGCCTGAAACATGAAAGTAATCTGCACTGGAAACGAGTAGAGTTATCTCAATCCATTTACATAATCATGTAATGAAGATAAAACGACTTCAAACATCCGTTTTTTGCACTAGACTATTCAATCGTTATTCAAATTATGAATGAGGCAACTTTGATATAGTATTGAAAAAGTCAACTGTATATTGAAATATTTAAATTCATAAAAAAGGGAAATCTGCCTGGAGCAGTGTTTGACTTAATGTCAAAAAACAAAGTGAATAAGTTAAACTCATAATTTCCTACCTTTTAAATAATTCCATCAGAATGGCTTACACTGACACTGGTTTTAGCAAGGCGGTCAAAAACGATTAGGGAAGTTGTCTGTCATGGCAATTTGATGAGCACAGATGCTTTAACAGAAGTGTTTCACTCTCCCTTGGACTTGTATCTTTTAAGTGATTTCATTAAGAGAAAGCAAATAGACTTTCAAAACAAAGAGAGAACTGCTACTGATTCATATCTTCGTTGCTCACAGCATGGTCCTTGATCCAAGCAGAGGCCGTGGATGTCGACGCTGCAGTTTCATCCAAAATCTTTAGTAAAACTCTCAGATGAAATGCTTTTAAAAAAAAACTATGTTGTTAATGCAAAGCACGGGGTTCCACATTGAAGATAAATGATACAAAAGAGATCCAATGCTATGAAGAAGCCTGAGAGACTTCGTAGTCTGCGATGAGCTGTTTGATGTAGGACAGTTTCTCATGGAGATATTCACAGCGTTTCTTCTCTTCCCGGTAGCCTGGGAACTTCTATGGAGAGAGACGAAAGTGTGAAAGTGTTCACATATTGATATTCCCTTGTTCTCAGAAAATAAACAGTTTCCCTTAAATCGAGTGAAATCTGAGATTGAGGAATATTTTTAACTGATGATAAAGAGGTGAAATTAATTGAAGCTAAGAACAGGACATTAAGTAACAATGTTGACAAAATTAGGGAGATGAAACAAAAACAACACCATAGCTTAAACCACTTGAATGTTCAACTCACCTTTCGATACTTGGAGTACTTTTCTAGTATTTGGTCTTCCATTATCTAAAATATACAAAGGAAGAAAATGATTACATAGTTTAATATCATTTAGCTGCATAATAAAATATTTGTGCATTTTTTGCATGCGTCTGGTTAAATGTATGTACCTTATATTCTCGTGTGCCAGGGGGCAAGCTTTTGATCTTGGATCCTAGCTGAACAAACATGTGAGTAATGGTGGCGATCCGCGAGTGGAGGTCTTTGTATTCATCGTACTCTGCACAGAAATCCTCCTGGTACCGCTCACGCTGCTCCAAAGTCATTATGGGGCCGTATGAGCTGCAAAAAGACACAGACAATTGCATTTATACATGTTGCAATTCAAAACTTATTTTGTGTAGTACATATTTTTGACACAAGATGGCAGCATTGTGATACTGATAATGATAAACATACTGGTGTATTCGTATCCATTCATCTCCATTGAGACAATTCGTTGTTGAATGTTTCAGTTATATATAAGACCAATACATTCACAACAAACAAGTCAAGTCTGTGTTATATGTTGTGTAACGAGACCAATTATTTTAAGTTGTGGGAGCTGTAAATAATTCCTCTTGCGGATGGTGAAAAAATAGCAAGAATACTGTTAAAAATAGAATGGATGTTAACACCCACTGTTTGTTTTGACCACATATTGTAACAGCCAGTGTGTCCTAAATGTGTTAAAAATAATACTATGCCACATAATAATCAAAAGATGTTTACACTCACAGCACGTAATCTGGTTTCTCCTCAGAGGCCACAGCATTTGTGATGTCAGGATCTGGAATAAATGCAGAGGATAAAGAAAATAAATGAGCTTCAGTTGAGTCAATACAGGCATCAATTACATGACACTTTGTCTTTGGCTGAATGTTAGGCAATGTGTTTTTGTTTTGCAAGACACAGCATGAGTGTGTGTGTCTCTGTATGTGCATGAGAGGCTGAGAGCTGCTGGGTGTCAGGAGACATATCAGCTTAGAGACGCAAAGCGCAGCTCGGGCTGTTGTTGAGTCAATCAGCCGCACACCGAGGACTCAAGAGAACCAGCTTAGCAGAGCAAACACCGTCATGCTTATGAGATCATTCTGTATAAATGCACCAGAGGGCTGTCAGACAAACGGTCGCTGAGCGGACCTCAGGAACTGAACCACTGGTCATCAGCTCAAAGTCCCTGTGGTTACCCTGATGTCTTATAGAGGGGGAAACACTGTTTGGAGGTGGGGTCACCCCCTTTCCGAGTTCTGAATGTCTACTCAAACCTGCCTCCGACCTGCCGGATTCGAGCCTGGGCAGACTTTATTGTCACAAAATTCCCTCAGGCTTGAATCAGATCGAGTTTAGCCAACTTCCCGTTTTTTTATGGTTTATTTTATTAAATTGAATTCAGGCCTTATAGTCTGTGACCTTTTGGGGCTGTTCTGACCATCCTGTCAAAAATGTATATTACTACAATAAAGGTACTCTAGTTTGCCTTAACTTGTGATAAATGTGAATAATATATTATTTAAATGACATTATTAAATGAATTTTGCATTGGAAATGCAGGTTTTTAAATCAGTCTTGGGTCCACAATTACAGATACAGGGTCTGGTTGGGCTTAGACAGAAACTACGCAGGTGTATGTAGGTTCTACTGTATAGCTCTACTGAATAATATAATACAATTGATGTATTATTCAAACCTAATAAGAGCATTAAGGTGACATCTCCCAAATTCCTAGAGTTCGGACTCCATTATGGAATTCAAAACAGAAGAAATAAGAGTATCATGAAGTATTGAAAACTATGTGTTGGTCTCAGGATGGGATCAAACCGTGTAATAGAAATATCAGTCACAGGAAAGTTCTGCTTAAAAGATGGTCTTACTGTCAAGTTTGTCCGGGTTCTGCTTGAGATCAGGACTCGTCTCGAACCATTCGCTGCCCTTGTTTTCTTTTAACCTCTCCCGCTCCTTGTCTTTGTGCTTTTTAGATTTCTTCTTCTTGTGCTGGCTGTTGGCGGGCGGCTGGTGAGAGCAGTCGGAGTCGCCCTGTGGCGGCTGGCTGCTTACTTTGGGTCCCTGTTCCCTGCTCTCTGAGACCGGTGTGTCAGAGGTGCTAGACAGTTTGTGCATTAGAGGAAAGCCACTGTGGCATCCTGGTAAGCCATTTTGGTTTCCAGTTTGGTTAGTTGTCCGTTGAAACTCAGTCTTTGTGTGGAAACTGGGGTTGAGGGAAGGAGCTGAAATGACGTGTCCTTTGTTGTTTAAGAGTCCGTTTACTGTGGGCTGCTGTTGCAACCTCTGGTCCACAAGTCTTTGTTTCTTAACAGCGAGGCTTTCCAGAGAGTCAGAAGGCACGGGACGTTTCTGGAGAAAGAGAGAAATCAACCTTAACAAAACCACAGAAACAACCTTAACTTAACTTTATGTGAAACAACAACCAAAATACCATTCAGGACATTCACTTGAACTGACTATAACTGTCAAAATCCAATTTATAAATATGAAATAATCAACATATACATTTAAAACGTATTTCACACAAGGATGATAAATAAGAACCATGTTAAAAAGCAGATTAGTGACTCTCAAACATGTTTAAAGTCGAATGAAAAACTATTTGGCCATTTACCACTGCAGGATTCTTTGCTGGGCTCTGATGTAGCGTTGTATCCTCTGAGGTCTTTGACACATTTGCTGGAAGATTCCTCGATGGCTGGCTGATGTGCGGCTGCAACTTCCTGTTAAACGAAAGAAAGAGAGGGTTACCAATGTGGCATTTAAAAAGATGAACTCAAACTGGAAACTTAAAAAAGTTCAGCGTGACAAGTTTGGTGTGCGATTATTAATTAGCACTTGTATAGCAATGTGCGAGACTGAGAGAAATGAAGGAAAGAGGAAAAGAGGACAGAATAGTGGTGCTGCTGCCTGCCTAGAGCGGAGAAGAAGATGGGTTGTATTTCCAATTACTATTTCTTTGACAGATATAACCCCCTTGACATACTGAAAAAGTGAAGAGCTACTTGAAGGTATCCCCAAATTATAGAGTAATAGGCTCTGCAATGTGAAGTCTATTTAATTATTGGTGTATTGTATTGATAATGAACAGTAATGCAATGTCCGTTTGGTTCAGCCTGTGCCTGTGACCCACCTGGCCAGCAGCCTGCTGATCAGCGGCCTCTCCTCCTCGCTGTATCCCGGCCAGGCCCTCTGCACATGTTTGAAGAAGTCATCCCTCAGCAGGTAGCTGCTGTCCTTGGGATTCACTCTGGCCACCTGAAAATACAATATACCCCATGATGCTTCTTTAAAATCATATTAATGCATTTCTCTGTCTTGTATATTTTAAACCTGTTTTATTAGGTAATGTGAATTAAAGCGGGATCGGAGACGTTGGATTGTTGTTCAAGACCTTGCCAGGTTCACACAATAAGATTTAGCCAGTGGCTGCTAGAGGAGCTCTCTGTATTTTGCAGACCTGGAGCTGTAGTGTCAGTGGCAAATGTTCCCAGCTGGACCATGTATGCATCTCCCCCTCCTCCAGAAGCACTCTCTTAAAGTCTTCCCTTACATTTTTTTCCTTTTCAATTATATGTATGGAAATATCTTTTGTATCTTGAGATACAGTAGCTTCGTCTCCATCGATATCATCTCTCTCATATGGTTATTACCGTCCCCGCCAGAGGGGGGAGACAAAAGATTTGCCCTCAGATTTATGATAAAGGATCTAAGATCTTTTAAAAAATCTAAAATATAGTGATTCACATAGATAAAAATACACTATTTAAAAGGAAATATTGTAAATGTTATCAAACTAAAATGCAATAATCACGCTTAACTTAAATACTACATTGTTCCTATGCACTTAGGAACATAGCACATTAATTTATCCAAACCTTACAAATATACATCTCTTTAAAGATTTGTAATTCTTTGCTGCACGTCAAATTGCCCCTAATGCAACAACATGATTAACTGAAATAAAAGAGAATTGACAACCAAAGTTTTCTTATATTAAAGTGGACCTATCATGCTATATTATAATAATATAGTGTAGGACCATACCTAGATAAGGCATATTTATACTTTTTTTTTTTCAAAATACCAAACAGATCATGCATTTTAGCCATGCCTCATTTCGCTCAATTTGCACTTTTTTAGCCCTGTTTTTGCAAGGGCTGATTCTGTGAGAACAGCACCATCTACTGGCTTGGCATATGTACTACAGCGTCTCCAGCGCTTTCGAACGGCAATGGCCGTGGCTGTCTCCTCCTGATTGGTGGAGTTGGCCCAATAGCTGTAGCGCCACCATCCAGGAAAATAGAGAGGGTTGTGTTTTCTGACACTTGGTGAGTTCCCTGGAACACCGGGGACACATATTCATGTATAAAAGACGTACAAAAGTGCATTTTGCATGATAGGTCCCCTTTAAATATAGTAATGTCTCTTTTAAAATCTACACAATGTTATTCCTTTGTGAGATAAAGCAGCATGGCAACTGCTGTCCTGGATGTTCTGAAAGTGGCACATCCCCATTCCTGAAAAGCAGAAACTCTTTTTATATGAGATTCTGCTCCCAACTGAGAGTCTCCGGCTTTAACCTCCCCTCTAATCTCCTCAGACTGACTTTCTCAGAGGACATCTATCTTTCTGGGGCCTCCTGACAGAGCAGCCCGCCCCTCTGCAAACACAATCTCAGCAGAGAGACAATTACAGCATCGACCTAATTACACACATCCACACACACAAAAACCACATGCATGCACAAACCTCAACAAGCGCAAGGGCAGTAAATACACAGACATGCACACTCAAACACACAAACATCATTTAGGAATTGCTGAAAAATGTATACAGGAAAGTCACATAAGGTAAACGTTTCTAAATTAGATCACACGTTCAATTAAAGCACAGCTGGCCACTGTTTCTTTCAGTATAGATTATATGTTTGCTAGGTTATATATTTTTTTATTTTCTTGGGTTGCATAAACTTCTAAATCAGCATGTGAAATTCAGCTTAAATGCAGCATTTTTGTGGTTTCTTTCGATTTAAAAGGGCGAGTTGAAATGCATTTTACAAGAATTTTCGTCTGCAATACTGTAGTTTTTTTATAGGTCATACACAAAGGCAGTGTGTAAATATATAGGGAGGCTGTGGCTCAGTGGATAGTGTGCTGGACTTCGAATCAGGGGATACTGTAGCAAGTTTGAGTCCCACTGCAGTCAGCATGTCGTTGTGTCCCTGGGCAAGACACTTCACCCCAAATTGCTCCTGTGGGGATTGTCTACACTACTGAATGCGTGTAAGTCGCTTTGGATAAAAGCGTCTAACAAATGACATGTAATGTAATATAGGTTTAATGTGCCCGGGTGCAAACACAAGCCAAAAGTGTCCTCAATGTTTTTTTAGATGTGTATGAGCCACTGTGTGCAAACCAATTAAGCATGCATGTAAGTGTTTGTACATGTATGTTCATACTCAGACATCGATGCATACATACACATTATTTGTCTGTTTACCTCGTCCAGTATGGCCCCCAGCTCGGCCTTGTCCTTGGGGTCGGCTTTTTCTCTCTCCAGCCACAGCAGCAGCTCCGGTTTTCTGTACGGTTTCAGAGCCAGGAGGTGGATGATGCGCTCCCTCAAGGGCTTCTGGGTCGGCGTGGCCGTACCGCCGATCCTCCGGTTGTTGGTGGAGTTCTTGAATAAACTGCTGTCTGATGTAGACAGAGGCCGCTTCTGGAACTTCACACATTTACCTAAACACACAAAAAGAGAAAGAATATGATTGAGGGATGAGTGATACTCAGATAAACAGTGTATTTCTGAAGTTGCATTTGTGTCGCACTGCCAACGAACTCTACACAATGTAAGAACAAAAAACTTGTTGCTATGCATTTTACACCCAAAACAATTATTTGCATTTTAAGTCATAGGAAATATAATCCTAGGAATTTCCAAACATTTAGGGAGACTTTAACCAAAGCTCATTGGACCTGATTTGTAAGCTGAGAGCAGGGAGAATCTACAAAAGGTATTGAATTGTGTCATGCAAGCTTTCAAAAATAAAGCCTTTCACATGTCATCAATGTAGTAGGTCAAACAAAAGCTGACAGAGTTAAAAGGCACCCACATTTAATGACTCCAACCACAGCGTAAACTAGGACTGGACTCGATTTGAGAAGTCATTTTTGTTGATTAAAAGCTTATATGAGCTTATAAACATTTAAATATTGTGTTCCTTCAGCATGAAAAAAGCATACATTGACTAAATAGATCATAATCGACCAAGACTCAAACAAATAACACGACTAATCGAATAAGGAGGGGAAGACCTATTTTACACCAGCTCACTTCTGTTGACTAATGGGCTAACATTCATTCAAATATTATCTTCTAACCTTTATCTCTAGCTCACATGTGCATGTTGGCCTGCAGCTATCTGTCTCCAGTTGTAAGCACCCCATTGATCATTGCTTACATCTCTGCTGCAGACAGACGGCAGTGAAAGCTATCTCTCTGTGCTAATCCCATTACAGGTTAATCTGCGCTTTGAAGGTCAGAGTGGGGCAGAGGTACAGGAAAAGAAGGCTTTCCTTTCAACCACAAAATGATGTCCTGCCATGTGATTATAACTCTATGCATGATCATTACTCTGCTACAAGCCATTAATCTCGATAGAAATACATAGAATTGTGTAATAATTATAGAGTGGGTTGTATGGCGTGTAGAGCTCCATAGGTTTTGGCATTCCTGATAATGTGCACTCTTGAGCTCCGCCTGAGGCTAAAAAGGAGATTTAGAGTGCATTACTTCCATGTTTCCCTTGGGGCATATACTGTATGTTGCCAAGTCATCCTCTTCTTAAGATTTGATGTTACAAAATCCTCACATTCTAAATTTGGTCTGAACCTCCCTGAGTGTCCTCTTCCCAGGAGCTCCAGCACTGACACAAGGAGCAATATTGCATAACGACGGCAAAGGTTGGAGAAGACAAAAAAGAGAAAAGAGAAAAGAAAGTGACTTGCTGGTTCATGCCTGTTCTAATAATAACATTTTGTTAGGTAGGCCTACATAATTAAGATCTAAGAAATCCCATAAACACAAATGTACTAATCAAAGCTTGCGATATGTTTGCCAATAACAATAAAAAATGTCAAGCTTTTGGTTACAGAACTAATATTTCATCTTTGTAAGCCAACTTTTAGAAACAACCCCATCACCTCTACAAAGAACTACATGTTGCAACAGTTTAAACTGGAAGAACCTGGCTTTGAATCTTTGAATTGGCCATCTACTTCTGAAGTGATGGTTAAAAGACAGATGCTGCTGACTCAGACCCAAAACCAAAAGTGTTTTTATTCGGCCAACAATGCTTTGAAAGACAGATGTAAGAGACAATACTAAATAGAACCAAAGGTGCAATGTGTACAATTGTGGCCTTAATTAGCAACAGAATTTGAAGAAGTGGTTTGCAGTTCTGTCTAAGACGTTTATGTATCGTGTTGCAGAGCTACTGAAATAAGCATGCTAACCAGCTAGCCCCGTCAAGTCAACCTCATTGTGAGAGTGAGAAGGAATTAGTTGAGCTACCCTGAGGTACAGGATCTGTATACGTTTTGATAATTTGTTTATTAGAACAAATTCAAAATGGCAGATACAAAAAAATCAATGTGTTTCTTTTTCCTTCTGACCTTCACTTAGCAGCTGTAGTAGCTCAAATTAAGCTAGCACAAAATCCCAGTGCTGGGAGTCGCTGCTAGTTAAAACACAGTGTTATGTTCACAGGTTCTCAGAGTTGCAGCACTTTGTTAAAACGTTGTGTTTTCTTGTTGTTAGTAAGTAGTTGGCATCTTTTTTTTCTATATACCTGAAAAGTAATAGAGGTGAAGTGCTTCTTGTAGCATGTGACCAAGCTTTTCACAAACTGACAACCAAAAAAAATGGTTAAAAATAAAAAATACATAAGAGAAGACTTTCAGTCTAATTTGTATAACCTAAAACGCAGCCTGCATGTCTGATTTGATTTCACATCAAAATAGGAATATATCTGGTTTCGAGTTTAAAGCAATGAATACAGCAATGTTTTTCTCATGTGAGGCAATTACTCCTATTACTTTTATTGGTGCTGTTATATTTCTATTTTGTTTTTATATGCCATCACTGGTTCCACATTCAATTTGCTGGGTCCCTCTCCAAGCTGAAAGCTGTTTGGCCTTTTCCACATGAAGCTCTGCAGATGTGTCATCCTGTGATCCTCTGTTTATGCTCCACAGTGACCTCTGCTCTATTCTTACTTGGATGTGTGGCTCCGGGTTTGATCTCGATGGCGGCGCGGCTCCAGCTGTCCTTCTCCACCTGAGACATCCTCTCACGAGTCATCTGGTAGGAGTCGTCCGTGGCGCAAACTGTGATCTTGTCCTGGATGATGCCTTGACCTTCCAGTTGCTCTCGGCCGTCACTGCAAAACAAAAACACGGAGCCATTGAACCGCAGGGCTTTTTTTCCACTGGCTGTACAGTAAACAGGGTAAAAACATAGGCCTATAAGCCATCTTAGAGCAGCATACCAACAAGGAGTTCATGCACAATAAAGTGGCTTTGTGGTAGAGGGTGGCTAAGACAGGGCTATGGTTACTGTATGTTATGTCACATGCTAGATATAGCTCTGCAGAGCGCTACATGTGAGAAAGCCAGATATTCTGGTTCAAAGCAGGACAGAGGCAGAGGAAAGGCGCCAGGATGAGCTTGAATACTGCCAGTACACTTGGACAAAAGTAAAACAAGTTTAACACATGAAGCTGGGCTGTATTATTATTGCTGTAAATAAATCAAGGATTTACTGGGATGTCAAATTCTTTTTTTTTCATATTTAAAAGCTTTTTCTCCTATTTTCATTTTCTCAACCCAATTATATGTGAGACTACTGATCATTTCTCCAGTTTCTCTGCTAAATATCCAAACACATGTGAGGGCAGAGAGATGGATCCTGCCCTCACGCTGTTACGCTGTTTGTCTTGGCTCCAGCAGCTGACTGGAGCCAGAACGAGTTTGGAGTTCAGACCACAGTTAGCCCTCGGTTTCCCAGCATATCCACTCCATAAACAAGGCATCACAGGTCTCAGTAATGAGAGGGTCAGCCCAGAAATATACAGGAAATTACAATTGCCCCATCCTGTGTGCAGCAGACAGTCTCTCACGATATCCGCAGAGACGTGGGCACACACAGAGCTGAAAGACTGACGACTTAAGAAGAAGATCACCAGTATCGTCTGGGGTCACATATGGGCCACAACCATGGATCGGATATAACAAATAACACAGATCTGGAAGCTAAGCTAAATAATCTTCAGTTGGTTCTTTTTGCAAGAGAGTATTTTGCTTTGCTTATGTGGTAGAAACATTTCTCCTTGGAGTGTATATGGGGGAAAAAGGTTCAGTGTACTGTATGGTGACATTTTCAGAAGAAATAAATTAAATAGGACTCAATTTGTGTTTGGACTCTGTACCTTGTGACATATTGATGGATGCAGTCAAAGCTGGCTTGAGGTTGGTCTTTGCTGTCGCTGGATAAGTAGAAGGAGAAGACGCGAAGAGCAGAAGGCGACTCTGAAGTGGGAGCTGGGATCTTGATGTTCTACGGAGAAATAACAGCAGACAGTCAGATTTAACCAAAAACATACAGGGAAATCAATAAAAAGGCAGATGATAGGCAAACTACTGTATAAACAACACACTCATACACCAGCACTTCCTGTTTTAAAAAGCTGTTATCTGTATATGTTTCCATGACTGAACAGAAGGAATATTTCATATCACAGTTATTTTAACTTGACAGTGTTATAGGAACTCTTGAGTGTGTGCTTCCTTAAATGATATCTTTCAACATTTCTACTTATTGTTGGGAAAAGCAGAATTTCTGAGGCAAACTCCGCTGCCAAATGCAATGTCGTCAACAACACATGGTTGCAATCAACATAAATCAATAACTTTTATTTTTGCAACTTAATAACCTACTGCAAACGCCAGATTCTGGAAGACGTATTTAAAAAACACCCTAAAAAATATAATTGACCCTAAAATGACACTGCTAGAATCTAGAACAGGCTGAATGCAACAAATAGGATACTGATCATTTTGAAATGTCTAAAGCCATGTCAGTAGTCGGGCTAACAATATATACACCACTTAACATTGCATTGAAATGTAACTGTGCTCTTGGGAGGAGAAACTAATGTAATGACCGTTTGCCCAAATTGATATATCATGTGTTGTTAATCTTATATTCTGGATTGATGGTGGCACAAGAAGGAAGGATTCATCCTCTGGGGAGCATGGATATGCTCCGTTCATTTTATGGCAATCTGACTCAGATTAAGGGATTTCCTGAGTGGAAATGTTGGTCTGATGGTAAAACAAAAAGGTCAGAGGTTCACCAAAAACATTAATATCTTTCAACCGAAAAATCTGAATACCGACAGAAAAATGTGCGAACATCTAGACAGTTGTGTTGAGGAATTTGGACCTCATGTATTTTAAAGAACAAGTCATCCCTCTTTTTATTTTTTTAAAGACGAGTACTGTCTGCTAAATGCTCCTCAGAGTTTTGGGAGCGTATTGAATCCAGATGACACACATGTGAGTCAGAGTGCAATAAAAAACGTGCACACGACCTTTTCTTTGTCATTTGGGAAAACTTTGGAGATAATGAGAACTTGCGAACACGTAGCGCAGCAGTTTGACTAAAACACAAAGGATGAAATGTGCAGAAATAGTCCAATTAAATTAAATATCATATATGCCTTTGGGTAACACTATCGGCAATCCAACACTTGCACATCTTGTTTTTATCGCATCTGAAGCAGACTTGCATGTGTAAATGCCATGAGTAACACACACGCACACACAGATAGGCACAGACTTTGTGCCGCTCTGTAACTTTAAATAAATCTCCTTGGGTAAACAGTGTTTTTAAGAGTCCGCTCCACTGAGGCGTCCATGAGATCTCCTGGCAGACTCAGTGGAGCGCAGCAGAGCCAAGGCTGCAACCTCCAGGGCAGACAAATGCACACAAGAACACACACACGAACACACACAGACATATAATAACAGATCGGGAAAAGTAAGGATACGAAGAAAAGAAAAAGTACAAATCCACACTGATTTGACCACTGAGCATTATTCCACAGATGCTCTGAAGGAGTTGTATTATTTATGAAATGACTCTAGCTAGTCAGGAACTACAGTATATATAGTAAGTTAAATCTCAAAGTGGAACGTCCCCGTGCCAAGATGATCCACACACTGTCATCACAAGTATTTTTTCGATGGCAACTGGATGTGGTGGTGAAGTCAGCAGTCTGTCAGCAATCCCATTCTTCATGCTGCAGGCAGCTGTGCCATCTTTTTGGGGGTCAGGGAAGCAGCTTTAAGTGTTAAATTATCACGGGGATTTCCTCCACTTTCTCCTGTTTCCCTCTGCTCCCTATGATGCCAACATGCCCACATGTGTGTGTGTGCATGCGACACCAGCATCCATCATTTGAAATGTACTGTATAGTTTGCAGAATGCAGATTTTCTAAGTTAAATTAAGCAAGACTCAAGTGTTTTTCAAATCGGTCACTGACAAAAAAAGTGTTCTCAATCAACACATGCATTGTATAACATGCAGTAAGTTCCAGTGAAGCTGGTGTTACATTTTATTTGGGTATTTGCTGGATTCCTATAATGGCGTATACTCTACTTTATCCCTACCAGTGCTTCAGTAACAGTTAAGTAATAACAATGACTTTTAAAGCAGAAAATCTTAACTTCATGATGAGTAGTGCCGCGATGATGAGTCGTCTATTGATTAGTTGAGTAATTAATCGACTCAAAAAGAATCTCAAATAATATTTGGACATTTTAAACCGGATAATCAAATAAGCAATCATCGGTTGCAACCCCAATATGAAAAAACGGTTAAATGAAAGTTGGGTAATGTGAGAAAAACACAACTTTAATCACCACAAAACTGGCTGTTTGTCATTACCGCACATGCATTTTTTTTAAATACAGAATGTTTGTTTTTACAGTATGCAGCTGAACATCCCACAAGCAATTACATTTGTTTTAAAGAGACTTTGGTTTGCCAAATGATGGAAATCATCACTATAAATGTATTTTCTATAAATTCCATTTCTGCTGTTTTTAGAAGCTTGTTAACTAAATCATAACTAATAAATTAGTTAATGCTGATGATTTAACGCCACTCAACAGAGTGGTGCTTTGCTTCTGTGCCGTCTTTAAAAGTCACATCAGATGTGTTTTGTGCTCTATTCTCTTATCAGCCCGCTGCACATGTCTACACATGCAGGCTTTCATCACAGGAATTCATACTATCAACGGCTGAGCTGTTAGCACTGAGGGATTCAAAGCAGCTTGTTTGTAGCGTGTTTGACATTACTTATGTTTCAGTGAGTTCATTTAGGGATTATCTAATGTTTGCCTGCTTATACATTCAATGATACACGACTAAAGCCTGTAATACTGGATCACTTGTTTGTGAGAGACGAAAATGAGAAAACATTGTGATCACATTGAAAGCTCACCAGAGGGATCATTTCTTCTCACCATGAGACAGTTTTGTTCATATTTCACAAGATTATAAAAGCACTTAATGACCACTTAGCCATTGCTACAGTAATAAAGTTCAAATCCTTTTTATGCCAACAACCGATATGGGGATACAAATAAAGATGGCCGATATATATACAAATGTCACAGTGTAATTTATTGCTAATCTTTGTCAGTCCAAGCCATTTTACACCGAGAATCGGTTTTAGTGTCTTCCTCCTCTGATTGTGAAACTGTGAATAAGTTGTGAAAACAGAGAAACAGCTGCCAGCGCCTTATAAACCAAAAGGTCAGTTCTGTAGAAACTGAGGTTTGAGATAATGCTTAAATGATTCTATAAATAAATAATAGTTTCGGCTGATCCATCAACAACCACATTCATAATGGGTCTTAGTAAAGAGAATTATCACCACAATATTACCAGGTACAGCATAAGGCTGCGATCACAAAAATGCTTTGGCAACACGTGTCGGGCAAAGCTGTGTGATTCACCCGGGGAGCAGAGCTGTGCCCAACTGGGTGATCAAATGCGTGGGAAAAAAATAGATGCAAGCAGAACTCAAGCTCCCGTCTTTGCAAAACATCATAAATAGGCCAAAAAAAGTATGCATGTTTTAATTCCTTCATAAAGAAAAATGCCGAGCTGCACTCATTCTTATTTCATTTTAAATTACATTTTCATGGTTTTAAACTTTGAAAAACAGTCAAACTGACATAAAAGTTGGCATAATAATCTTATTGCAGCCCGGCCTCACATCCATAACCAAGGGTGATCGAATCTCAGGAGGCACAGGGTGAAGGCTGAGGTCGGTTTCAATTTGGTTGATGTACTGTATCAGGAACGTACAAATGAAATAAAAGGTTCACTGTCCACTTTCAGGGTATATGCAGGAATCCTGAAGTTACATTTAGTACCTTTTAAGACCTTTTTTAAGACCATACATTTTAAGACCTCACTTGGAGTTTTAACCGGTTACATTGGCGACACACTTTACCTCACATTTACTATATACAGTATTGATTGTCCTTCCTCCTTATCTTCCAACCATTTGGACGCAAACTTGCATTTCCCCATAACGATGTTGTTTAACAACCGGCGTAAACGGAGCTTCGCGCGCTATCAAGCAGTGAGCGTGCGATGTCCTGTTCAGATGACGTCAAATCCAACGGGATGCCATAAATAAACTACACAGAATCACACTACACACCTACGCAATGATTACATTCAGGCGTTGTGCACACGGGAACGTTTGCGTTTATGCACAGTATGCGCTTTCAAAAAAGTCTTCCGTTCACATGCATTCGTTTCATTTAACGTGTCTGTTCAAACGAGACCGCTGGAAACGCTGTAGTACATATGCCAGGACTGTAAGTGGCGCTGTAACTTCCGCCAAAATACACCAAAAGCAGCGAAGAAGACCCCGAAGCAGCCCCGCAGCAATGTTGCCATGGCTACCCTTCTGTTTATGCCCCGCGGTGGATTTAGCAACATGTAGTAGTTAATGTAATTCTCCATGTCCACTTGTTGCTGATGGTTGTGGTAGAGGAGCTGTAGATGTTGTACTAACATCTGTAGCATGGTCAGTAGCAGTAGCACTAGCAGTAGCTACTGACAGTAGCTACTGGCCATGCTACTGCAGTGAGCAGGAGAGGTGGGGCTATCGTTATTTTGTGTGTGGCGATTGCTGGTATTCAGCGGGATATAGTAATTTCCTCAGCATGTAAATACATGGATAAATGCAACGGGGAAGTTAACTGAAAGAAACCGAATCTGTGGATATTGCATCGACCGACCAAGAAGCACGTCTCCGTGGAGAGGACGCGCTCAGAAAGAGAGATATTCTCTACAAACACCGGGTGAGCAATGAACAATAATGGCCTGGATTAGGCAGTAAAGACAATTTTGGTGTATCGCAGAGCGGACTGTTTAATTTTGTTTGTGTTGTTTGGCTGGAAAATTGTCAATATAATGGATCAATGCATGAAATCTGACTCTGTTTATTTTGTTTAAGGAGTATATT